CCGCGAGAGAAGGATATTCCGAGTGATGTTACAACCTTCCCTGCCGACCGTCACCCACCACCTCGGGCCCGAGGAGCTGTGCCGGCTTTCCCCATCGGGATTCGAGATCCCCCATTTTCTTAATGTCAGAGATTTCAATCTGTCACGAGAGCGGCTCGGCAACTTTTCGCTTATCCGCCCGACAATTTCCACGGGCATCGCCAAAGTTTTACGTACCGTGTAATTTAGCTCGCGATACCTCTCGCCGAGACAACGGCGATTCATCAGCGCCGGAGAAAGACGTTTACGATAAGATAAGAACGATACGAGGAAACGTGCACGAGCGCGAAGCCGGTCATCAGTCAAAGTACATTTATCGAAATTTGAAAGTGAATGTCATCTCGTACGTCTCAGCGAGAAAATATCGTTCCTCCGTGTATGTCTTGATAACGGGTGAAAACAAATTGAAGACTTGAATTGGCATTGTCGGTTTGTCACATTAATCGCAGACTTGCACACTTGCACTTGCACTTGCACTTGCATATTTCACGTGATCGTCTGTTTTTATCTGTCTGTTTTCTCATGTAGTAACAAAGTAAGGTGGGCGAATCGTGGGAGAATCGGTGTTGGTGCAATCGGCGTGAAAAATAGGGAAAGAGGAACGTTAAGGCGCGTTAAGGAGCTGAGAGTCGACATCACAACGACTGTTAATTGGCTGTACTCGTGCGCAACAACAGGAGTGAACAGGACGAACAGAGCCGGGGGAGAGGAGGGGAGGAGGAGAAAAAAGGTTGCGGACGCGTAACTAGACCGGCTGAATAATCGAGTCCCGGCGGGGGCGACTCGTAACGGCCCTTCGAAGCGGCAGCGAAGGTCGCTACGTCTCTCTATATCGCCTCTGACTCCTCTTCAGCTAGCGGTTGCAATAAGGCGTTAACCCGCAATTCTCGCGCGATCTTCCTCCGTTTCTCTTTCCCCGTGCTCCGCGCGCCGTATATGCATGCACCCTTACGGCGGCGGAAGGAAGCCGATATTCCCCGGATGATAATACACGAATGCACGACTATGTTCGAACACTTGTCTCCGTCGTGTTACCGGAGACTCGTAGCGAAGTCATTAGCGATCTCGCGCGCGTGTCAAGGTGTCATGTTTGAAGCTCTCGTTTATCCCTTTGGAACCACGGCGTATATCATTTGCCGGTTGATGCACACGCGCAATCGTACGCGGATAACTCGACGCGTAACTTTGTTTTTACTACCGTTTATGGAATTGTGTATTCGCGAGTGCGAAGAAATGAGAGAGAGAGAGAGAGAGAGAGAGAGAGAGAGAGAGAGAGAGAGAGAGAGAGAGAGAGAGAATACAGAACACGGTCGCGACAGTTATTTACTTTCAATTTATCTTGCGCCGAAAAGAACAGAAATGCGCAGAAATGCCATTTCCCGAGCTGGAAAGCTTCGGCTTAAGAGATCGCCAATTTCTGCACCACAGTCATCTTCTAATGCGACGAGAAGAATTGCCGCGCGAGCCAATTCCTCCCGAAATGGTGATAGGGTGACGCAGGTGGCAAAGGTGATCCAGCCGTGCTTATTATGTCGATATATTGTAACCAAAGTTCCATTACAGACTTGTATCGGCCAACGATACGCTCGCCATCATTCATTCCTGGCAAAATAATACGAGCTCTCGCTGCAGATATTATACATGGTAATGTAATAAATTCTATTACCATGTCATTACGTAATACTTCCCGCTGTCGAAAGTAGTTGGAATTTATAATACAATAAATGGATTTCCGCGCAGTAGACCTTTGCCATTAAAATGTATCACGGGAAAATGTAGGAGGTTCCGCCAGTAGAAATTTTGGTTCCACCTTTAATCCTGCAAATTCCGTCAAACTTGAACGATCAATAAAGAATATAATCGTGCATATTTATTTATAGTGCATCCTCGTCTTAAAGAACTTTACCCGTATTTCTCTTTTCTTTATACTTAATATTAACAGGCAGTACATATATTAATATGCAGCTTATTCGACTCTACATAGAATACGTGCACGTGTGAACATATACTGAGCATACACATACGTATATGAGATTATGACAGGAGAAAGTTTAATTTTTTTATTTTCTCCACTCACCCATTAATTTCTATTAGATAATTTAATACTCACATATATGGTATATCGCGCATCTCTCTGCGGTAAGGTTTAGGTAAGTTACATAATTAATATAATACCAATTTTTATCCTCGTCTTACTTTTTATCATGGTTTAATTCGTTTATGTTTGATTATTGCTTACCAAAAATCAAAAGTCAAACACATTGACATTTCGATTCGAATATGCGATCGATGCGCATCTGTACGCATTTTTGTAGCCGCGACTGGAACAGACTGACATCCCGACGGAATAATCGCACGATTAGCGTCTCGCGAACGTTAGAAATTCTTCCTGCGACCGAGTGCATGCACTGCGAATTAATTATAGCTTCGCCTTAAATAAATTATGATAGTAAACGTGTTATTGCACGTTATCGCGCGGCGTGCCAAAATCGCTCGTTGAATTATTCACTTGCCCGGAAAATATCGAAGTGTGCCGCGATGACGCGATGACAGCGAATGTGTCGTGTGTGTCGTAACAAATAAAGGGGGAAATTTGCAGTTCGCCAACCAGGACTGTCGTTCCATTCCATCCCTTTTGTTGCGGAGCTGGTGGTGAACGAATATTGTTTCTTTAAATACTGTCAATGCAACGAGCTGATACGATACATCCAACTTCTCGAAATGATGTTGCAATTGAACGAAAAGAACGCACGAAAGTACGTGTGTCTGTTATATGCCGCACCAATTACGCTCCACTGAGTTGAACGACAAACTTCGACGACTCGAAAGTGAAACGTAACTTTGGCGTTAATATCTCGCCAGATACTTTGACCCGTATTCTCATTGCGTGTTTAGTTTAAAGCGGCTGTACGCTTCTGTACCATTGAAACACGCGGACAAGCGTTTAAGGGATTTCATCGAACAATATTTTACTTTTTACAAATCATCGAAAAACAAAGACTCTGGGAAGAAAAGATAGACTTTCTAAGGAGTCTAGTTTCCAAAATGTGTTCACAAGGCGCAGCTTCAAAAAACATTAAACGACATATCGATCGTCGTAAGTGCGAGATATTGGTGTGTTCATCGGGTCGAAAAGTAAGAAAAGAGAAAGAGGGGGGAAATATACACACACAAAAAGAAAGAGAGAGAGAGAGAGAGAGAGAGAGAGAGAGAAAGAGAGAGAATAACGATGTCCCAATGGTTTAATGAGCGGCATGGGTACACGGGGTATTAAAGAAGCGAAGGAAGCCCGATGTTTTCAGGTAAGCAGACGGACGAGGCATCTCCCGAGGGAATGCGGGCCGCCTCCTACGGGAGGCAACCTCGTTCCGCGAGCTCCTCCAAGCCGGTTTTACCTCCGAGTATAAAGCGCGCGCAAGTACACTTTGCGAAAGGTAACCTGAAATAATAATCGAGCCGTACACGGGGAGCGGATAAAGGTTTGATCTTCCGCCTCCTCGGGGAGGAAAACTGCTGGATACTTGGGAAAGGTACGAATCTTTCGAGACAGTTTCGCTAGTTACGTAACAAGGGCGGTACCGCAGGGCGTCGCGCACACGAGGGAACTGGAAATTTTACTTAGCGCAAAAATAGTTTGTAGGAAACTGTCGAGAGACTGCAGACGAAACGAAACGAAACGAAACGAAACGAAAAATAGACGTCGAAAAATATAAAGAGACAAAAAGAAGGAGGGATGGAGAGAGGGGGCGAAGAGAAAGGACATAGGGAGGGAGGGGGAGAGAGAGAGAGAGAGAGGGAGAGAGAGAGGCGGGGGAAGAGGGAGGGAAGCAACGCGAAGGGAAAAATATTGTTTGGCTAAACTACCTCGTCGGGTGTCTCATCGAAGAGCGAACGCCGGAAACTTAATTATTGATTTACTATCGATAATTGCACGATCGCAGTGAATAATAATCGAACCGATCTAAACTGTACGATATCGTACGCGTCGTATGCGTTTTGTATGTTTCAAATCAAATTAACCGAGATGAAGAATGAACGAATCTCTCAAGAAAACAAAGTCGTACGTGTGCATTGAGCAAGCCAATAGGATTACTGCTTAAAAATGATTGATACTTAACGTTTCGCAAAATCGGCTTTCGGGATATTTATAACAGTTGCGTCCGTTTAACCGCCCGTAAGAACGAAATATAATTGTCGCCGCGTACCGCGAGCGCAACAAGACGCAATTCAGTCGTTGGTGCGCATTTTTCATTCAAACGATTTTGCTCAAACGATGATGAAATATCGTGAGAGATAAAATAGAGCAGAGCAAAGTCGAGCATCGTACTCGTGTATCCATCCGCGGACGCGGACGCGGACGCGCGCGCGCGCGCGCACGTGTGCGGCCATCGCGGAGCGCCGTTCGACCACCGTGACCAACAAGGGGTTAAAATCCTGTCATTCTGTCGACGAGCAGCCGATGCATGCCTCATCATTCGCGCGGAAAAGAGGTGAAAGATGCGCACGGATGCGGCATTGTTCGGCGCGCATTGCTCGTGTGTACTTGGGATACGTGCCGCGTACGTGGGTCGTCCTCTGGGGGCCGCAGGATCCCATATTCATGGGATTTATGGCGGGATCGCGCTTCTTGAACACCTTCGAACAATGACGATGCATCTCGACGCATTGTTGCGTGCCCGTAGGGCAATTCGAGTAATGCACCGGAATGCACTCCGATGCGACTCCTCGCAATTTCTTCGCATTGTTGCGCAAAGAGCGCCGGTTGCGAGCGCGCGCGCGCACGGCAGTTCTCTCATTGCGCCAAGCGATCGATTTTAGTCGCGCGCTCACGCTCGCGCGAGTTCTCGTCTCGAGGAATTATTACGAATTCGAGCGGCGGATGCGCTCGAGATTTACGCGTGCGTACTCGCAAAACAGCGAATCTGTCGAGCGCTGAGCGCTCGATGGAAAAGTTACTTTACCTTCTGACTGACGGCTGAACGCCCGTTGCAGCTCTTCCTCCTCCTCCTCCTCCTCCTCCTCCTCCTCCTCCTCCTCCTCCTCCTCCTCCTCCTCCTCCTCCTCCCCTTCCTCCTCTTCCTCCTCCTCTTCCTCGTCATCTGAAACATTCCACCGCACACCATAATTTATTTAATTTATGTTTCCTGTCCAGAGAGGAAGAGAGAGAAAGAGAGAGAGAGAGAGAGAGAGAGAGAGAGAGAGAAAAGGGGGAAGAGAAATTTATTTTAAATGCCGTTACCGCGTTTAATAATTGCGTCTGTTAATATCGACGTTTGTATCGTAAACGTTGATTTATCGAGTGAAAGCCGAATGAACTCCGTATTTACTTTTTTCCTTGTTTTCATCGGGCAATTTAATTAATATGGCTCGAACGCGTCAGTTCGATGCGATTTCGATTCGATATTAATTTTATTATGAGACGCGACAAACGTGTCTTATTTATTTCACTGCATGATTCAGTGTGCAAACTCTGCCACCTGTTGTACGTAAATACTAAAGAAAACTACACGAGCTGGCAGTCTAACAAATAACACTCACGCTTAATCGCCGTCGTTTCGTTATCCTGTTCGGCCGCTTCCAGGACATTCTGCTCGTTGCCCTCGTCCCACTCTTCGTCCCCTACGCGGAGAGAAGCCACCACGTTAATTCTATTACATTTGCATATCGCGAGTAAAGAGCGGAATCTACAGCTGCCTACGAACTGCGTACAACAAACGCGACTTTCTTGTCTTAAATCTCGCCACGGAGAATTTGTCAGATTCATCGGAATACATCATTTGGAATTCCCTTCGCGTTCTTGTTCTCAGCTTCTCTTTTTTTCGGGAGCTCTTGCAAAATCACGAAACCGAGGAAACCGTTTGCTGTTTATCATCATAAATAAAACGACGAGCCGCGTTTTCGCCATAAAATATAGTCGGCGCGCGAGACGATGATGCTGTGGACGGTACTGCTATCCGTTTGTTACGTAGAGGAGGGACAGTACCGCAGGATTAAACTTAAAAAATTACACCCCTGTCCACGTGGCCAACAGGTCGTTTGTTAGTTCGCTCAGTGACTCCCCCGGACCGCTGCCACACTCTCTCTCTCTCTCTCTCTCTCTCTCTCTCTCTCTCTCTCTCTCTCTCTCTCTCTCTCTCTCTCTCTCTCTCTCTCTCTCTCTCTCTCTCTCTCTCTCTCTCTCTCTCTCTCTGTCTCTATCGCGTTGTCGCAGCGCGAGCGAGTTTACGTGCGGCAAACTTGCCACTCTGACGATTACGCTTCGTCGAGTTTCCGAAGGTGTCAAACCGAGCTTTACCTCGTCTATCCTCTCCCCCCTCCCCCCCCCCTCTCTCTCTCTCTCTCTCTCTCCCCATCTCTCTCTCTCTCTCCTGCCGCTATCCTGTCGAGCTTTTACTGGAACGAGGGTATTCGTCACTGTTAACGGCTGATTAAGCTAACAAACCGCGCAAACTTTTCCTGCTAATTGCCGAGTGATTTATTCGACTCACGCGAAAAATAACGCTTATGACGATAACTGAAAGTAATCATCGGTCGTTTTGTAATACGGTGAAACGTAATGTTACCGCAACGATTGATGTTACGATCAATCATTCTTCAAGTCCATTGAGTTATCATGAGATTAACAGTTAATCAATAGACGAGAGTCTCGCCGAATTCTCGGTACGCCGACGAAAGATTCTTTGTTAAATAATAGATGACGAGTCCACGAGACGGGAATATACAATTCACGTAAAATTTTTCGCGAGCTAAATCTCGGCCCGCCCACGCAAACGGTACACTCCAACCGCCCGTTAGACGTCAGACAAGGAACAACGAGCGCGTCAAACCTACAGACGGCGGTCGGGCTTAAATATTCCAGAAGACACGACGCCAAGGTACCGCATCCTTCGATCGTACACCCTGGCACCCTCCGAACCCTGTCAGCTGTCAAGCACGTCTCGCGCCAGGCCGCGCGTTTCGCGTTACCGACACTACGATACCCGCCGGTTTAATGGTTCATCCATCATCGTGTAACCGACGACTTTCCGCGAGTTCCGGTCAATTCGTTAATTGCGTCCGGGATCACTCGCCGATCCGTCCGCGTATTCCGGTCGACTAACATCTTTATTCGTTTCCCGTAGCACGACAGTCAATATTTGTCACTACGAAGAACTCTCTCTCTCTCTCTCTCTCCCTCTCTCTCTCTCTCTCTCTCTCTCTCTCTCTCTCTCTCTCTCTCTCTCTCGTGTATGTTTGAAGACAGAGAACAAAAGAATGATTTAATATCGTACATGAAATTTTGACCGTATAGAAATGTGTTTCGTTATTTCTCTGCACGAGTTGGACAAAGTTTTCTTCTTACTTCGAGAGAGCGCAGATTTCTCCAAGCTGCCTCGACATTCTGAAACTGCATCATTTCAAAGAAAAGAGTTATGTCGCGTATTAATCTAAAAGGTGACATTCCCCATTTTATAGTTATAGTTATAGCGGCACGAGAATCTCGAATAATCAGGCTTATATTACGACTCGAAAAAGCTGTGCTCGCCCGAATGCTCGTGCGACTGATTCGTACGAGCGGCCGGACGTCGCGTCGGCGAATTCAATTTACCGTAAACACTGTAAACAATTTGACGATGAGACGGCCTGGGCCTGACAATAATCGTAAAGGTGGGGTGGGATCGGCTATATTGGCTCGCGGGGGCGCCCTTTCCGCACGTACCGGTACCTATAACGCGCGTACATCGTTTCGCAACGAGCCACGTAATACGGCCTGGCCTAGACGACGCCATTCTCAAGATGGTCCGGGAGAAGGTCGGCCGCGGGGAAGGGAAGAGAGAGGTAGACTCTCGAAAATACAGGTTGCAATCTCGGCCGGGCTCCGTGGCTAACGTTAAACGGATGTGTTATTATGGCTTCGGCATGCACGCCGAGCAAGATAACTGCATATTGCGGCTTAACCCCTTCTAGGAGGATCATTCGAGTCACGATGCCTCCGTCTGCCGATAATGCTACCGCGCGATGGAAGTATATCGCGTCTTCCAAATAATAACGTTTTATCTTGATTCCCAAGAATTTCCAGCCGGCACTTTCGACGTCTCCGTGTCGATGTTCCTTCGTCGTCCGACGCGAAATCTTGCCCGCTGATTAGATAAGTCGCATCATCGTGCGCGCGACGTTATGAAAAATATAATTTGCATTATTTTGCAAAAGCAATGCCGGTGTGTCGCTTAGTGTCACAATGCGATATCAAATTCTAAAGCAGCACCGAAGTGAAACAAAATTAAATTCAATCATCCTTGACGAACCAGCTCGAGAAACCAAGGGTTCCACCTCGTCACTAAATGAATAAGAATGACATTTCGTTCGACATTGATGGCATGAAGCCGATGCCTTCGATCTCGCGTGTCCATCTCGAAACGCGCAAACGACAGTCGAATGACTGCCTCAAAGCGATCGAAAATTAACGCAACGTTTTAACGATTTCGCCGGGGCAATGTCCCAGCACACCAATGTGCCGTGTCAAGCCCGCGCTGGCCTCGACGGTAACCCTTTCCGGGCATGTCCCGCGGGACGCGTCGATCCTCGCGGAAGCCCGCAAGGGTCCCGAGTCATTAATCGATACGCCGTGAATAAAGGAACGCCCTGCGGGTTATATCCGGGGCGCGACTGCTATCTCTATCCGCGGTGGCTGCCGCCGTACGTCTTGAAGTTCATGACAGGCAGCAAGGCAGGGAGGTAGACAGGCGGACAAACAGGCAGGCAGGCAGGCAGGCAGGCAGGCAGGCAGGCAGGCAGGCAGGCAAGCAGGCAGGCAGGCAGGCAGGCAGGCAGGCAGGCAGGCAGGCAGGCAGGCAGGCAGGCAGGCAGGCAGGCAGGCAAGCAGGCAGACAGACAAGCAGGCAAGCAGGCAGGCAGGCAGGCAAGCAGGCAAGCAGGCAAGCAGGCAGGCAGGCAGGCAGGCAGGCAGGCAGGCAGGCAGGCAAGCAGGCAGGCAGATAAGCGAGCAGGCAGGCAGATAAGCGAGCAGACAGTCGAGCGAGCAGCAATAGCAGCGGTAGCAACAGCTGCCGCCATTGGGAAGGGCCGCTGGTGGTGCTGCCGCTGCTGCTGCTGCTGCTGCTGCTACTACTGTGGTAGGTGGTGGTCGGGAGGATTGTCGGGGAGGGAAGCCATGGGGAATCCCGTGGGACCGCGTACCCAGGGTAGCTCTGACGCGGGCTCAGACTCCCGAGGGACACGAGCATCCGCCGGCGGCGGCGGCGGCGGCGGCGGCGGCGGCGGCGGCGCTGAGCTCCCTCCGGCGTCAGCGAGGCACCTGGAGGACCCGGGAATATTGCGGAGGGCCTTTGGTGCCTGTCACGCTGACTCTCGCGACGCCACGCTGACGTTGTATGGCCGATGTTACCGCGTAATCCTGCGCTTATCGGGTTGGCCCCGGAGTAATTCGATTTTGGGAACAAGTAGCGCGGCAGATACATTGTGAATCGTTGTTTCGGCTTTTCAGCGTTAATTAAATGACGACGGCTGGACGAGGAAGCTGGCGAATTGTCACCGACATGGAAATATTTTTGTAATTAATAATCAATAAATGTTAAAGGCGCAAGTGTCGCAAGCTAATGTGTGCACGAGGCACGCTTTGGACGCTTTGTGTCGCTTTGGAGCGAACGAGGATTTCCGGAAAAAGCAGCGGGAAAAGGAATTTCTTAAATCGACGTCGCCGTCGCCGTCGCGCGCGACGCGCATCGTCACAAAAGCGACGCCAAGTTTGCGGACTTGGAGCGACGGGTGGTCGCTCCTCAAAGGAATACCGCGTCGCGGGAATGTGTCCTCGAGTATGTCTCTTGTAACGCGCGAACTCTCCTTCCTAGTGGCACACGCAGTCTTCCGCATACCGCGTGCTATTAAGAAGTGCACACACGCGACTCCTCCCGAAGTTCGCCAACTTCATCTCCCGCTTTCTAATTCCGTACGTAGACGATCTAACCTTGTCGCCAAGGCGGCAGTTTTAGGCAACACCGCGCGACGAGTCTTGCTCCGACTCTCTCAAAATCGTCTGCGATTTTGAGAGAGACCGTTTCGGAAATTGAGCTTGATATTTTTTTTCTATGTGTACATTAATTAAAGTACCATTTCTCCGAATATTGTCGCCTCGACAGCCGTTAACGACGTTAACGACGAGATAATTCCACGCGAATTTTTAAATGTTGGTAACTGAAGCGATCAATGCTTGTGAAAGTAGAGTATAATAAATAGATGTACGATACATCGACTCGCATTTTTGTTAACATATCGTTATTGAAATTCACTCTAGAGGCAAATAGCGGCAAACCCGGTAATTAGAACCCGGAAACCTGTGTGCTCGCCGTACTCTTCGTAGACAATAATTTAACGAGAGGCCGATAACTTAATCCAAGTTAGCGGGCACGTTATAACGATTATGACCGCCGGCGAGGACTTAGTGCTGTCACTGCAAAAACTAATAGCGGCTTAAGTTTTAGAGGAGCCACGATTAAACGGCTTAAAACGCTAAGCCGGAAATTTACATTGCGCGGCTAGCGGCGCAGCGGCCGCCTGTCTGTCGCGAGTAGTCCGCCGTCGGTCGCTGCGGCTGGAAGAAAGTTCGCCCGAGTCGAAAGTGT